CTAACGTAGCTGTAAGCTAACGTAGCTGTAAGCTAACGTAGCTGTAAGCTAAAGCACAACACAGAGGTGTCTCCCCCTCCTCCCCCGCCACGATAACAAAACCCCCGCAGAGATGAGCACCTGCCACCTGCTAAGCTAAGTGACAGAGGAAGAACGCCATTTCTTAAAGGGAAATTATGGAATCCACCGCACCTCTGACTGACTCCGCCCCCCACCCCCCGAAAACAAAAACTCTTCTGATCTACACGATTCACGTAAATTACATTTTAGTTAGAAATCTGAGAATTTCGCCAAAAAAACGACAGGAAAAAGCAGAGAGCTGTAAGACCATTGACCCCCCCCACAGGAAGAAGCAGAGAGCTGTAAGACCATTGACCCCCCCACAGGAAGAGCCACAGCTCTAAGAACATTGACCCCCGGAGGTTCAGTTTCTTTTCTTTCCATCATACAATCTGCTGGAAGCAGAACAGTTATGAATTCTGGGTAGGTTTCAGAAGGTTTCCGTGGCAACCAGTCTGAGGTCAGAACCACCTGCTGATTGGACAAAACAATCTGAGGTAACAAATGACAGAACTGAGTTTTGGTTCTGAAGCCGTTGGACCCGATGGTAACATAACTGATCAGCTGAGTAAACATGGCCGACACTCGAACGACGACAGTCTGACCAGGACTGAGCTGCTCCTTTGTTGTGTTCTGGACACTGATCATGTGTCCCACAGCGTCCCTCGCTGACCGCAGACTGATGGTTCCATGCAGTCTGTGGGTCAGGACTCACCAGGTGTACCTGTCCCAGGTGTGTGTGTCCATGGTGCAATACCTGCGACTCGTACAGCCTCTCCTTGCGATTGGCCACCTCACTCCTGATGATGGCTCCGATGTACTCGATGACCATGGTGCACTTCTCGATGTCCCTGGCAGCGTACAGACCCAGACCCTGAAGACAGACACAGTTAAGAGTCCACCTACAGATCAAATTACCTCCCTGGTGGGCGTGTCTCATGACCTCCCTGGTGGGCGTGTCTCATGACCTCCCTAGTGGGCGTGTCTCATGACCTCC